ACATAATGAACAGACTTAGTCGAAATCAAGCATGTAATTCTCCAAACTTCTTTAACAGAAGAATATTCATTTTCTTTCCAATAAATATGATTGCGAAACATCATATGTGTTTTCAATAAAATCATCATCATATGTAACGTCTTGTAAATTTAATAAATCAGAATTCCACGACTGTAAAATAGAGCAGTTAATTAAAATAGCAAATAATGATAAAAATAACCCCAATATCATTTACATACGTTTAATATTTGAGCCCGGTAGATAGTTGATTGAACTATCTGCTTTTGTTGCTCAGTTGCTAAATTTGGTGTTAAATACTTATTTATTTGTTGAACGACTTGTGGAAAAACAGTCTGTAAAACAAGATTATCATTATAATTAATTCGGTCCTGAGACCACGAATTAAAACGTTGACTAAGGCTTTCATGCTCAATGCGTTGGTATATTGCTTCCATTACTTGTAATAAAGTTGATAAACTATTTATAGCAGTTTTGATATGATTATTAAGTCCTTCAACTCTCTGTGTCGATTGCATTCCACCAGTAAAAATTTTAAATGTATAAGCACATGCCCACGATTCTTTACTTAAAAATAGCTTTTGTAGATACGAAGATGCAGCCGGATAATTATTCAAAAGATTTGTAAATCTAGCCTCAAATACACTTTCACTTAAACTATTACGCGCCAAATAAAAATCTTTAATAAAATCTGTATACTGCATACCAAGCTTACATCGAAGATTTTTTAAAAGATTTTGACTTAAATGATACAAACAAAATAAATGTTTGGTATTCGGAAGATCATGAGCTACAACATATTTCATGGAAAGATCTTCATCCGTCATTAAAATTCTTGGCAAAATTCCAGTAGCTTTTTTTAATTGCCCCATAACCCAACGAAAAGATTCAATAGTTTCATCAGGCATTAAAGCCTGTGCTGCGATTCGTGTTTTGTTATGATTATCAATTAAAACAAAGAGGCACAAAGGAAAATTATAATGGTTTGTTTGTGCCGTATTGTCTTGAACTATTATGTCACAAAACCGAATCCATCTTTCACGTTGACCCGGGTCCATCCAAAAAATTCCACGGAGACGATTACTAATAGAGTCAACTAAGGGTTCAATATACCAATTAGGATCCTTTTCTCTATATTCATAAAGTTGTTTTAAAAGCTGTGATGCTTCACTTCCTTCCACATTATGTTCTCGTCGTAACTGAGCCACAACATTTGCAAGATCACGTGTTAAGAAAAGCTGGTCGGGGTATTTAACAGATAGAAGAGATCGTATTGTCGACAGGTCACACTGACTATTTACTGTTAAATGGCGAATTTCTTCGCAACAATCATCAGAGAATTGACGATTTACAGGAGCAAAAATTTTGGTATCTGGTGAAAGTTGATGCTTAACATGGTTATCATTAAAACTAGTAATTCGAACCACACCAGTTGCAAACGACAGATTAGCTTTCCAATCACAGTTAAGTTTTTTAGAACCTTTATTATGTTGATTTTGTAAGTTATTAGTTTTCTTTGGTTGATATGTTCCA